TTGGTCTGGAGCTCACCAATTAGGCTAGAAGGGTTGACCAGTGAGGCCCAAGGATCCCTTGTCTCCAACTTCATGGATTACAAGTGTGCCATTATGCCTGGCACTTCCTCGTAGGTTCTGGGGATTAAACTCAGGTCCTCCTGAGTAGGAGGCAAGTGCTTTATTGACTGAGCCATTTCCTGGCACCCTGTTAAGGGGTCTGGCCTGGAAGACCTCAGAGGGGTCTGCCACATGGGGTGGGAAAGCCTCCCAGTGTATGGGAACCTAGCCAAGTCTGTGCCTCATGCCCTCAGAGATGTTCAGGACAAAACCAGATTCCCCAAGGAGTGCTGGAGTTTCGTGTGTCATATTCACTAAAGGAAGAGGAAAGCTCTAGGCAACTGCTAACTGAAAATAACTTCAACAAAACAGGAGAATCTAGGGAGAAAAACGACTCCAGGAACCAGGAAAGGGCTTGGCCTGCTTGCTGGGCAGGAGGAGGAAAGTCACCTAAGGTAGGGAGGGAAAGGAGTCACCAAATGAACGAGAGGAAAGCAGGAAGGAGTGAGTTTGGATCCTGTGGCTAGGGTGGAGCAAAGCCAGGTCACACCTGGATTCCAGTGTCAGTGCCACTATCAGCCAGTTCTGGGACAAGGACAAGGAACTCACTCCTCCAAACCACAATTTCCTGAAGAAAGAAAAAAAGAAAGAGAGAGAGAGACAAAAAGGAGACTGTCGCCCGGTCTTCTGTCATTAACCTGGTCTGAGAGTGAGTGGTGTGACCTGGGTGACAGGGATGTGGAGGGGATTTGACAGGGGTAGTGTGACCTGGGTGACAGGGATGTGGAGGGGATTTGACGGAGGTCTGCCTTTACTCACTTGTTTGCATTTTCCCTTCCAAAACACTGCTAGTGAGTGGCAGGAAATAGCACGTTTAACTCTTTGCTTTAGAAAGTGGAAGGAAATACAAATTCAGAACTTAGGAATCAAACGGAATCTTGTCTCACACAGAGCTGCCCCAGCACAGACTGACCATTTCACTGTGTTTATTCCCATTGTTCCCTCTAGCCACGTGAGGCCTTCCACACCAAAATAAAGTGATAAACACACACTCTTAACAGAACTGGGGCTATTGTTTTGTTTTGTACTAGAAAACCTGAGCTCCGGCCACTCTAAGTCACACTAGTTCCTAAGAAGTGAGGCCAGGCATGTCAAGTTGCAAAACAGGAGAGCCAGAGAATTAGGCTTCCGTCAGGGCAGTAAAACCATCCCCTCTGAGTCAGTGCAGGACCTCCACATACATTTCAGGAGTCCTAACTCACTTGGTCTGTTTCTTTCTTCCTGTGCATGGCTCAGGGACAAGTCAGCCACTGAATTCCTGGAGTGTTGGCTCTCTGAAATCTTTTTTGTGGACTCACTGCCCAGAACACAGTAGGCATTCAATCAATGCTAAGGGAACAGGTGATGCTCCGAATCAGAAAGCAGCAGACACCTGTGGGTTTGGTGACCCTCATTCTAATAGGTGGAGCTGAGGGGCTTACACTTGGTCTCCAGGTTCAGGTAACTGAGGGACTAACCTACGACAAGTCATTTTCTCATGTAACAATGAAGGTTAGAGGTCACAACATCAACATGACTCTCCCAGGAGCTTCCCTCTGTCACTTTAAGGGGAGGATCTCCTTTCATTTTGGTTTAGTACAAGGAACATTAATTAAACTACACTGTGTCAAAAATAGGAACGCAGACACAAATAACTCTGCAAAAGGAACCTCCCATTAACATCCAGGCCTTACTAGATCTTGGGCCCTTCAGAAAATGGCCTCCGTGGGGATCAAAGGATCAATACTTTAAATCCCTCTGTGATCCCTGGCATACACAGCTCACACCTGGTAGTCATTCTTGCACATGGGGCAGTGTGTCACTTCCAAGCTAGTCATCAGTTCTCCTCATGAAACCGACTAGAAAATTCCAGGCACTTTGGTGACTGCTCACCTACAAGCTGTTTCTCAAAATCCTGTCTCCCCTCTGACCAGTTCCCCACTGGAGACAGACACAAAAGACTTGGTATCGCCATGTCAAAGGAGGAAGAAAGTGGACAAGTATACTCACCAAGGTACCCACAGAGCACCTGGGACTGTCTGGAGCAAAAGCTGCCCCCTGAGCCAGAGGGTGTTGTAACAACTGGGCAGACAGCTAGGGGTTTTAAAAAGCAGTCATTAGCTATTTTACTGAAGACATGCCCAGCCCAGAACTACATCTAAGATTCCAAGTGGAAAGGGGACTTGCTGGCTAGTCTTACCATCCCCCCACACCACCCCTCAAAATAGCAGGCATCTGATAACCAGGGCAGGACATTGAACACTCAAACGCTTCACTCCCACCCCTGATTTCTAGTCCCTGATCTCTTGTTATGCCTTACCCAGCAGCCCACATTGCTCAGTGCAATTGTCCTTTTGACATGCTCTCGTAATAAAACAACAATTTACAATTTATATACTGAACTGGGGAAAAGTAATACCTTGAATTATACTAAGGATGAATAAGAAAGGTCTTGACCCCCTTGGACAAAAGAGTCTATTGTTCAGAACAAAGCTTGAGTCTTTGTTTGGCTGGCCTAGGTTTCCCAGATCTTAAAAACCACCTGTCCTCATTTTTCACCCACATATGAAACCCCTTTCACGTTTGGGTCAGAAATCCCAGGGCCTGTTGATTTAGAGCTATGGGCCTACAATTTCAAAAGTTAGCACGTTTTGAAAGAGATTAAACATGTCTTCCTTAGAGCTGGACTACTGGGATACTTTTGTGTTTAACAGAATGGCAACTAGGTCGACATGTTGCTGCCTTATTCTTAGAGGAAGAAAATGCACTGGAAAAAACTAAAACAAACAAAAAAAAACACACATGGATGGACTTGTGTATATCAAAGGGAAGAGGAAACATTGCTGAGTGTTCACAGCATCGGCTTTCTTCTCTCCAACAGGACTTTTGCAGGAGAAGATGGGGATTAAAATCGGTTGATTTCCCCCTGAATTTACCCATGTTTCTGTATATATAAGACAAATATGTTGCCCCTACCTCCCCCCAAAAGATGCCAGATTTAAAAGACTGGTAGATAAAAGGCAATTGAGCATCGCAGACCTTTCCGTTATCTGGTTTGTGTGGTGATAAAAGCCTTGCCTACATCCAAGTCTGGCATGAATACAGTTCTTTCTAGTGCTTCGCATGGGTTTGGAATCCGTGTGCCTTCTGTTTGCGTGCTTGTATGGGTGTATCTTCTAGAGGTAACCAATGCCCTTCAGAACAGACTCAAACCTTCTTTTAACAAGACAAAGGCTTCATGGACTCCTCCACACAGATGCCTTACCCCTGTACTTTAAATAGACAGTAACAGCCCTTCCCACACCCGACACTGACCATCTCCAACATTCAGCCCTCTAACAAGCCCCCAGCGACACATGTTCACACATGTGTAGATTTTCACTTTCAAGCCAGAACACTCTGGTTCTGAAATGGGGCTGCGCACGGCCGGTGTGGCAGGGAAGGGGGAGGCTAGTGATGACCCTTTAGCCGAACATGCCGCTGTCATCTTGCTACCATATGCTGCCTCCAGCCGACATCTGCGCCCATATGTTCCCCCCAGTACGCAACTGTGCTGTTTACTTTTAGAGTTTCTCCCCAGTCTGATAGGGAGAGGGTATACCTCACCCGGAGTATAAACTGTTTGTCACAAGATTAGCAAGTTTTCTCTTTCATATCTGACCTTCACAAAGTCGTGCTGAAAGTTATCCTAAATAAAAATCTTAAGGAACATAATCAGAGACGGGCAGCGACGTGGAGGGAGCGGCTTGCTCAACACTTGTTCCTCTGTGTGATGGCCCTATGGGGGGAACCTAAGGCCTTTCCCTGGGAAACAGCACCTTCTTCAGGCCAGTACATGCCCTGATACAGAAGAGATACCATTCTGCCCACTGAATTCAGGTGGCCGACACTGCCCAAAGTCACCTAGACCTCAGGGACACAGGTGAGGACAGAGGGAGGGAAGTGCTGCCCTTGAATCCTTAAGTATGCACCTTTGGTTTGCTTCTGTTCCACTATGAAGTTGAAATATTAATATCCTTCCTTGTTCCTGTTCTTTCTGCCCTGTTCTGTTTGCCTTTTGTTTGTGTTTTTGTTTTTAAGCAGGTTCACAGGAAAGGGATCTCTGATGGAGGTCAGTACCCCAGACAGTAAGATCACAGACTGTGTGGGGCTATGCGGAGGACAACAGTGACTTCTCAGGCCACAGAAAGAAGTCCTCGCTATTTGAGCAGCCAACATTCAACTTATACACAATTGTATAAGCGGCAATATGGATGGACTTTGATTTTTTTAGGTGACTGAGGTTCTAGTTATCTGTGAGGCTTTGCAAGATAAGAAAGACAATGAAAACCCAGGCATAATCATGGTCTTAGAGATGAAACTGTTCAGAAGAACCCGGATACTCATAAATTGAGAAAGAGGAATATGAATTATACAGACTATAAGATGGAGTAGTGTGTTTTGCATGGATACTTTACAAAGTAACTAAAGACTATGATGTAAATGATAAGTTCTGCGGGCTGTTTTAGCCTAGCATGGTAGGACAGGAAGCAATGAGACAAATCCCCCACTGACAAAGGGATACCTTTTCTTTTTATCAGCTTTCCAGCTAGCTGCATAATCCTGAGGGACCCTGAGGTCTGGCAAAAGGTCTTTCCAGGGTCTCAGTGGCAAAGAGTTGGACTAGTAGTTTTCAAATTTGACTATGTCCAAGTGTCCCCTCTGGTGTTTGCTATGTATGCATATTTCCAAGCCTCTGTCTCTCCCCTCCTGGTTATCGCTCATGGTTGTAGAAAGGGTTCCAGAAGCCTGTATCTGGGCAAAGAGGTCAAGAGCTCCTAAAGCACATAGTTTACAAACCATCTGGGAATACTGTGTGGACTCTGTTGAGTGTAATTAAAATGGCATCTAAAACTCTCAGTCGGGGCCAAAGAGATGGCTTGGTAGTGAAGAGCACTGGCTACTCTGGCAGAGGAACCAGGCTCAGTTTCCAGCACCTAGGTAAGGGCTCAAAATTGTCTGTAATCTCTGTTGCAGGGGATCGTACATGTACTTCTGGCCTCCAAGGGCATTGCATGCACATGGTATACATATTTACATGCAGGCATTCTCATACACATAAAATAAACATATCTTTTTAAAGTTTCAATAAACTTCATGTCAAATCAGCTCCTGAAAGATCCTCCCAAGCTCTCCATACAGACACCTGCAGTATCTCTCCTTCAATAAGAACAAATGCACAAATGGGTGCTACCTTTTTCTGACAGTACTAAACTACAACTTTCAACTGTTCTTAGAATGCACCTACAACTGTTCCTGGGAAAGAGAATACTCGGGGCTTGACTCCAGGACTTCTTTCCGTAATGGGGACACTTGCGAAATGAGAGCTGGCCCTATACACACGATTTCATTGCGGATCGTGATATTTTCTGACAGTGGGATTCTCCTGGACTCTGTCCCCCTCCAAGATAGAGAGAGCAGTGCCCACCACTCCAGCCCACAGAAACAGAAAGCATGGGTGTCACAGGAAGAGAAGCGGCAGGTCAGGGTGCAGTTCCCTTAGGCCTGCCTAGCGACTTCAGCTGACGCATGTTACAACCTAACAAACCGATGGAGAGGCCTAAGAGCTGACACTGTTCCAATCAGCTAGGGTTGCTGATTTGAGGTGTCTCAGATACAAACAAGACGGTGACAGACAGGCAGTCCTTGGGGGGGGGGGGTTCACAGAAGACAGCTCTACCACGCACGGTCCTTGCTGTGTGAGAGCCGAGTGAAGGCTGTAATTCAGCTTTTGTGCTGGCCCTCCACTTCCAGACCAGGCAGGAGTTGGGAAGCATGCCTTCCTCTGTCCCCATTCTCAACTTCCAGAGCTTCAGATGCCAAGAGATGAACCTGAATGTGGAAAGATACCCTAACAGAGAGCCATCCCAGGGGACAGTTTCTTCAATAAATGTTCTTCCTCTGCTGATAAATGACCTTTATCTGGGATTGCTCTTTTCTTCTTCTGGCCTAGGGTCAGAGAACACCATCTACACTTTTCAGGACTTTCTGAGCTAGCTGCTCAATTACAGAACTTCTTTATAAATCAAGTAGGAGCAATTTCAGTGTGATCATGAAGATGTCAAAGCAGAATGAAAATGAGATTGAACTGGTGGATGAACTATGAATGGCCCTCTAAAAAAAGAATTTCCCCAAATGGAAAAATGACAAAGTCCTACCACATCTGGTGCAGACAGAATAATCGGTGATAAATTTGGTCTAAGAAGCACTGAAATTACCAACAATGAAACCAGTCCAAAGCTTGGAAATTAAATTGCATTTCCCAGAATATTCCCACTTACACTTTGGCAACAATAAATAGCCCTGTGCTGTTAAAATCCACCAAGAAAAACTACCCGATCGTTCTGATGGTGTTGCTTTCAGGTGGAATGATTGGAGAGCTCACCAGCCCTGTGGTCATGTCAGCCTGTTTCTTGGAGCCAAATGGAGCATTCTTGTTCACAAGAAGGAAGGAATAGGGGTTCTTATGGCAGCCTGAGGTTATGAATGGACGGTGATCTGGGAACTAGCTTGTTGGGACATATGTGGTGTTTGTCAGTGTGCTGTGGGCAAGATAGGGAAAGTCACATGAACAGAGCCAAGATTCAAGCCAGGACATTTTTCTTGTTCTTTTTCTTTCATGAGACTGGAAAGATCCTGCAGAACTTCCTGAAACAAATATCACAAGAGAGCAGTTCTCACATAGTTACTCCATGACTGTGCCTTCAGATATGTGGAGTCTCCTCTTCAGGAACAACCTGCCTCCTAATTACCAGTGTGGAAAGAGCCAGGAAGGCCTGAGGCCACAGAGACACTCTCCCTGGGAACGGAGATGCACCGAGCAGGCTAGTGTGAAGGAAAACAGCTGCCTGCCAAGGGTTGGAAATGCATTCAAACTATTTTCAGGCGCTTTGGGCTTCACAACATCCACAGAGTATTTTCCATCTGCATTTGGTTTCTCAAGTCATTGTGGCTGAAGAAAAATCTAAGCCAAACGTTTCTAACTTATCAGGCCTACCGAGTCCAAGTGCTGTTTGAGAGGATGCAGGGATGGTAGCAGTCCACAGGACAGGGTT